CGCCCTCGTTCGGACAGCAATAAAAGCGAATCCGGACTGACCAGCGGGGCCTGGGGCCTGGGGCTCGGCCGCCGGGGTTATAGAGGGTGCACTGTCGGCAGCACTCTCCGCATACACCTATCTCCTTTGTCGTGGGTCTCCCTCCCTCACCTGCCTTTTCAAACTGATTGGCGCGGGACCGTTTGATGACCGGATCAACTCGGCGACGTTGCTCCCCGCTATGGTGAACGAGATCTCGTGCCACTTTGAGACAAAACGAGATGCCGATTCCTCGAACTCGATTCTGTTCTCAAGCCCCAGCACCAAGCCTTCACAGCTCGCTGTGGAGCGACGTCTCTAATCATCGGCAGCAAAATCACCATCGGCAATTTTTTTTTTTAAATCCTTGTTTTGTACACGTGTGCCTCGTTTTAAAGCATTGAAATATTTAGAAGTACAAGTAACGCAACGCAACTTCAGTATACCTCTCTTCATTCAATTAGCATTGCTTGTGGGCTACAAAAAAAAAAGAATCCCGCAAAATATTAAATAATTGGATAAACTAGTATTCATGAACAGCAGGGCACACTCTTTTCCAGTGTGGTTTCTGAACGGGTCGCATAAGCAGAGTGCAGCCGCTGCAGCCGTGTGCAATGTACCTGGGGCCGGCCCGCCTGCCCGGATAGCGTCCCGGAGTGCACGGCTGTGTCTGTGCTGTCCCCGCACACGATAGGGTGATCGCGCATGTAAACTACCGCTGGCGGCGGTCCCACGGGGAGGGGGGGTCCTTGGGGGAGGCGAGGCCTGGCAGGGTGCCCACGGCCCCGCGTTACCCCACCCCACCCCGCCCCACCACGCCCCGCCACAACCCGCCACGCCCCGCCACGCCCCGCACAGCCCCTGCACATTACATACAGCCTCCGCTCATACCGTGCAGGCAGCGCTGCGGAGAGCGGCGCGGCGGTCGGCCGGACTACCAACCGCTTTGCGGCGAGGTTCCACATGCACTCCTGCGAATCCAGGCGCGGCCGCCAAAGTTCTATACACGCTTTAAAAATAACTAGTTTTGCTGTTCTATAGCTTCCTTTTCTCCCTATCGAGAGTTAAAGCTATAGCTGACACCTTAAAATCATCCATGAATATTTATGTTTAGTGTAATTATTTTATCTGGGATTGGAATTTCTGTACGGTTTGGAATTGAAACGGCAACTTACCGGATGAAGGCGTATCCTTTATCCTTGAACACCCTGATCTCCTGGATGTTGCCGAAGGGCGCGAAGGTCTTGGTCATGAGCTCCTCCGAGAGGCCGGCAGCGAGGCCGCCGCAGTAGACGGTGCAGTTGGTGGGGCTGGACTGGTTGTACACCTCGTCAAAGGTCAGCGGCTTGGTGTTGGCTGCAACAAGGAGGGAGGGAGACGCGGCTATCAGCAAATGATCGGAACGACAGAGAGTCACAAAGGGACCACCTCGAAAAGGTCAAATAGTGATGTGTCGTTGGTCGGGGAATGAAACGACTTGGGTAGAGCCAGAACCAAGTTGGTTAAATCGATGAGGTCGTTAGTTCATGATCTATATCGAAATAAGACAAGCCTAGGCCTATGCATTTTTTTATGAATGCCTATACTCTTGAATAGCCAGTATATGGCACAACTCCCTGAGATGCTTATGGGAAATGCTTGGCTACCGAGGGGGAAGGAAATTTGATTAAAGTATGAAGTTATAAACTCACGGCAATTTTAATGCAAACAGCTCATGTGCACGTCGTATTAATTTACCAAGCGATGAGATACGAAGGAATTCTGAGTGCTTTTACATTGAGCCCCGTTACAAACTTAAAAAAGATTATATTGAAATGTCTAATTACGATTCTAACAGCACCAGTGCTGAGTGGTATTAAAGTTTTAAAATGTTCAAGTTGTCTACTTTAAAACAGGTATCGAAATATAAATGTTACAAACTTGTAATAAAAGTTGCATTAAAAAATTATAAAAATAGTCAATACATTTTTGTATACCAAAATGTCTACAAAATGGATAAACATGCATGTACCATCTTTTAGACGTAAATACTAATGGTTAAACTTATCATATACTCTAACTCTTGTCGCGAGATCTGACAATTATATAAAGCACTGTACAGAAAGGGAAAATCAAGTTTTTACAATAGTTTTATGGAGGGTCCTGTTACCCTTGTTTAGTTATACCACTCTGAATTTACTGTTTAGTTAGAGGTTTGTATTAACTTATGGGCCAGTGTGAGATTTAACGAGACAACGCGTGTGACTGAATTAGAAGGGACGTAATTATCGAAGCTTTGTGTTGGCAGCGGGGGCTACATCGGTGGTGCCTCCCCCAGTACCTGCGCCGCAAGAAAAAAAGAGGAGAAAGAAAATGTTAAATGTCAAGCAGCTCAATTAAGACAAAACTAAACTAAGCGTAAAGTTAAAATTTGCAATTATATATTAGAGAGACAAAAAAAGTATGGAGAGAGAAAAATGTGTAGGTAAGAAAAAATGAAACAAAAATCAAAATTATAAAGGGGAAAGGATACAGACGATATTCTTTTTCACTTACGAATAGTACCCTTTGGCAAATAATTGGACGATTTATGGGATCTGCAAATAAAGGCCGGAATAAACGAAAATTAAAAACAGTGCAGGTGAAAGAGAGAGAGAGAAATGTAACAAAATAAGCGACGTTTGTTTTTTTTAAAAAAATATCTGACTTGTTTGATTTCTCGCGTACGGTGTGGAAAAAAACATGTACATAAGTTGGAGAAATCATAAGAAATAATATCACCAGAGGAGGTGGGCGCACACAGTAACAAGGGCACACACACACACACACACACACACACACACACGCACGAACATATGCGGTAAGAAGCAGGGCCGATGTAATCGCGTCCTGACTGACCACACAACAGTCGATGCGAAGGGGGAAAAGTTGTTGTTTGTTGGTGCGTGCAGCGCACAGGCGGCCCCGCCTAACGCCACATTGACACGGCAACCGAACCGACCCGCCCGACCCGAGGGGCGGGCGACGTCAGGCCGACGTCAGCCTGTGTCAACCGCTCGGATGCTATCGGCGGTCGGCCCTTCCCGCTCACGGGCCCAACACATATGGGCGGCCAATTTCGGGCAAACCAACTCCGCTTTGACTCTTCACACTAAATCCAAAAGGGGACAGTTCCGTGTCTCAGACTGCTTGCTGCATTGAGACGAAATTGTCAAATTTTCTTAGCCTTAGCAAGAGGTGTGCTTACAAACGTAACATTTACAGATATGAAAAAAAAAATGCGAAACGCCGCTTCGTTCGAAAGTAGCTACAAAAAGTAATTCGACAGCTCACAGGCTCCCCAAAAAGTGTGCAACCACAAAAAAATATTCCCCCTCCCCCCCCCTACTTTTCTTTTGAAAAGAGGACCACATTATCATATCTAGTTAAACGCGCGCAACGTTCAGTTGTAGAGAAAAAAAACCCACACAAAACACACATAGTTTTGAATTTTACTGTAGTGACCTTTGACGTCGTACAACTCGCCGCTATACCCCTCCCTGCCGGGCTCCGAGGTGCAGAG